ATATTATTGGATATATTGATTATTTCATTATATATATATATATTAATATATATTGGTATTATTTCATATATATATATATATATTTATTGGATATATATTGGTATTATTTCATATATATATATATATATTATTGGATATATATTGGTATTATTTCATATATATATATATATATATATATATATATATATATGTATATATATTATTGGATATATATTGGTATTATTTATTATACATATAATATATAAATAATTATATATGTATGTATATATATATATATATATATATATATATTTTATATGCATACACTTTTCACATATATTTTTAAATTATATATATATATTTATCGGATATATTAATATTATTTAATATTTATTTTTTCAATATATTTTCTTCTTCCATAGAGTAGATGCTTATTTCCAAATGAAAGAAAAGAAACATAATTTTTCTTTTGTTTTTCTTTTATTCAGAGAAATTTAAAGTCTTGCATTTGTACAACAAAGAACAGATCAGATTTTAAAAAGATCACATTGTTGAAAGAATAATAAAAAAAAATACAAATTACTTTGTAGATCAAGGTTTCATACCAAGAATTTATTTTGTCTCATAATTAAAAACTGTCTTTGAAAATCAGTCATTTCTGATTTTTTTTTGTTTGAATTTTTGGGATGAGGACTTAATGTTATTTTCACTATTTACATACGTATTATTGTCCTCATCTTTGCTGTTGTTATCGCAATGTTTTTTGGCCATTATGACCTCCCCCCCCCCCCGGTCTTCACCAGATCTATGTACATCTGGGTAACCTACAGAGAATTCTGAACTGAATACTTTATTTAATCTATGGGGCCAGACTGCTTTTATTCTACTGCCTATGTCTAGAAGTATATTTAGTTCTTATTCTAATACTGGGGAGAACATGTGTGTACTGTATTCCTTGCGGTTGTGACAAAGATTATAAAGGTGAAACAAGTTACCTTCGAAAAGTAAGGCTGGAGTAACATGAATAAGCTGTAGTGAAGTGTGAGATAATGAAATCGGGCATGGCTAATCATATATGGAGGGTAAAAATGTAGTCAACAGACCCTGTGGAATTAAGTAAAAATACTGGTCAAGGAAGAACACTAAAGAGGTGCCTAAAACAATTGGAATATATGCTAGGCTATGAGGACCTTCTTAGTAGGCCTAGCATAGAAATAAATATGATATGGGAGCTGCTAATAAAGAAAGACAAATGATGGCAAGTCTTCAACGGCAACAGCACTCATCAGCAGGTAGGTTAGGTTTAGTGCTCCAAGTTCTCCACAAAGAATTGACTCATAATAGCTTAGTTGGATTAAAGCATTGGTTCATGGATTTGATGGCATAATAATTTTGAGTTCAATCACTCAGCTGGCAGTGTGTACCTGAACTTAGGAGAAACAGGGTGAATAAAAGTGGAAAGAGAGCAGTCTACTCCTGTATATTAAGTGTAATATATATATTATAATAATTATTTAAATATAATTTTAAATGTAGGTTACCTGGATTGATATACACCTGATGAAGTCTGGGGACCCACTGCCTGAAACATGATAACAACAACAAAGATAAAGACAATAGCTCACTAGACAATAGTGTAAATAATCTCTGATTTTATCTTTTGTTTTCCAAAAATAATTGGTAATATTTTGGTAAAATTTAATATTTAAGTAATATTTAACATTATGTATTTTATTTCTTTTTCAAAACCTTCATAACTGAAGGTCAATTTTAAAAAGGGAGTTATTTTTACTAAGAACTTCTTTGTGTAATTTTTTCCTTGCTTCATTTAAAAAATGTTTATTAATATTCTCTTGAGTGTTAAAGGTAAGTATTTTTTTTTATTTATTTATCTTTTAACTTATTTATTTCATTTATATTTTTTAAGCATTAAAAAACTTCCAAAATGACAAAGTGAACTATTTCACTTTTGTAGCCAAATATTTAAAAGAAAATTTTAAACTTTAACCAACATAACATGGTATAATTTCAGTTAAGTTTAAAGTTAAATCAGTTTAGATCAGAAAATATAAGCTAGATTTTTTAAATGTTAATAAAACCTTCACTTTAAGATGCTTGTTGAAAACAATTCCATTGATTATGGATTTATGTGTTATTCTTCATGTTTCATCCCATCAATTTTTCTGTAGAAAAGCTAATGAACATAAGGCTATATTTAGACTTAAATTGGCTGCATAAATTTGACCATGTTGTGCTAAATTGAAACTATTGTATGGAAAACAATAAACAGAATCATGTGGTTAATCACCCTATGTTCTAAAGGAAACTAGATAACTAGCAACTAAAGATTTTGAAAGGTCACAGGTTATTTCATCTATATATTCAAAGATGGCAAAGATTAACATAAGACCAGGCAAAAGAAAAAAAATGTCATTTTTTTTTCTCTTAACACCGGGATTACTGTATACTCCCTCAGTAATTTTTATTATTTTGGAAAGCTGTTTTTAGAATCTTAATAAAAAAATATTGTGGATATATACATTTGAAACTAGATTTTTTTTTTTTTTTTTGCAAGAATTGGCAACAAAAATGTTAAACACTTTATTCAATTGTTTATTTATAAGTTTATGAAATTAATTTGATTTGGGGAATACAACTTTATTAGGGCCAACTATTTGAAATTATGAGTTATTAGTAAAATAAAAAATTTTCTAAAAATTGTTTTAAATTTATGATGAGAGTTTGAAAATGTCATTTTCTGTAATAAAAAACTGAAACCACTGAGGTTGGTGGTTTGATTTTGTTTGGAGGTTCATTATTTTCCCATAGCTGGGACCCTAACTGGTGCCACTACCCTAGATTGTTGGGATATGTGGTAGGCTAATATTTACCCAGATGCCATAAATTTTATAGTTGTACCTAACTTTATAACACTGTAATATTGAATGTAAATGGAATAGTGGCAGAATTTATAAACTATCAAAAATGTTGATTAGCTGTATTGTCCAGTGTTGTCTGTTATGGGTCAGCAGACAAAAGTTCACCTGATGAAGATGGGACAATTAACCAAACTAATCCATAAAAAGTAGTTTTAACAAGTAAACTGAATGTTAATGATAAAATCATCTCAAACAAAAAATAATTTTCAAGTGTTTAGGAGAAACAAACATTTATTTTTCTGTATTTTTAACCAATAATAGGAATCATTAGATTGAATGCCAAAGAGCAATGGTAGTTTGTCAGTTTTATATTTCATTAAAATATTAGATGCCAGTAATGCTTATCATTGTCATTGTCTTAAAGTGTGGTGGAATTACCCAACTTTGTATTGCAAAGGACTTTGCCTAATGCCACTAGATGGTATGGCAATAAGTTGTATAAATGAAATGAACTCTCTCTCTCTCCCTCTCTCTCTCAATCACAGGAGGTGGTAGGCAGAAGATAGGTCCAGTCTTCACCTTAGTGGAGACTTCTTGGCCTCCAAGCAGCTGACTACTTAATTTCATCAAACAATTTGATATATACATGCACACATGCACGCACACACTACAGCTAAGCATATAAATGTTTTTCTAGATTATTTCCTAAGATCTCTCTGTATATATGTAAATATAATTGTTTTTTCTTTCTCTTTTGTGAGCGTTTGTGGTGTTCTTTATATACACACACACATTTATTTATTTTAGGTTATTAAAACAAAAACATGTTAAAAATCATTACAGAATTACAGTTATGTTTCAACACTACAAATGTGTCTCCTCAGGTTATGCTAAAATACTGACAAGTGAACAATTAATTTAATTTCAAAAGTAGAATACTTCTCTTTTTCCAAGAAAAAAAATCAAAACAACAGAATAAGAATAGGCTTGTTGGCTTTACTATGATTAACCAATCAAATGTGACTTATGCTAAATTCAAACTCACCAAAAAAAGAATTTTTTTTAATATAGGTCATGACTCAGAGTTGTCTGCATATAAATCCTAGACAATTTCATTATGGACAGATACAAATGGTTACATTATTTTGTAAGATGTGGAATTATACTCCATTTATTCTCATTTTACCTGGATGGATGGATATATATATATATATATATATATATAGTTTTAAGGTATGCTATACTTTGGGTTAAAGTGCTAAATATCAGAGATAGAGCATATGTAAATATAAAAGTGAACACTGAAATCAACACTCAGCGGCAACAATGTGTTTCATATTAAACGCAATCATCAGGCCATGTTTTGACAATTGCATTTAGCATGAATCAGTTTGTCACATCTAGGTGTTGACTTCAGTGTCCACTTTATATATATATATATATATATATATATATATTGTCAAAACATGGCCTGATGATTGCATTTAGCATGAAACACACTGTTGCCGCTGGATGTTGATTTCAATGTTCATTTATATATATAATATATATATATATATATATACACACTCTATATATTGAATTAATTTATTTTGGGCTTACAGCTATATCATGTTGAAACACAGATACTTATACAATCACCGAAGTTAAGCAATGTTGAGCCTGGTCAGTACCTATATGGGTGACAGCTTGGGAATATCAGGTACTGTAAACTTGGATGTGTGTAGGGCATAATAGATAATGGTGTCATTGGAAATCAGAGAGCTGAGTTCCAATTACAATCGGGTTCTTTTATATTCACTTATGTTCAAGTACCTTTGGAGAAAATATGAATTCACCTCTTCTCCTCCCAGCCATGGGTTAATTAATAGGATTTGTATCAGTAAATCATTATTATCTCCAAAAACTTATTACAATCTAAGAAAATATTTTCTGCCTTTAAATGACCTGCAAACACAAATCAATTTCTTTATTTTGAAAGTTTTTTATCTTTATCTTATCACAAATGATAAAACCTTGCCAATGTACAGTATTTTAACAAAAATGAGAGGAAAATAGATCTTAAAATTGAGCTTTGTTGTAAATTTGTGCAGCTGTCATTTGTATTTATAAAACTGACATTTATCTTTTTTGTAATTTCAGCGATGAAAATGACAAGACTGTGAGCAATGGAGATAAGGGAAGTGAAGTGAGTGGCTCAGACAGTTTGGAGGATTATGGGAAAGTTGACTCCCTTAAGTTCAATGAAGAGGGCTCCATCATTGGCCAGAGTGGAAGCCAGGAGCTAAAAGAGGCATCATAAGAGAGATTCTTGCCATCAAGTTCTTAGAGTTCTAATTTGCAACAGAATTCAAGAACTGTTACTCTTTTAAGACACAAAAAAGTTCCAAAATGGACAAAGTGAAATGAGGTTAAAAAAAATGTTTAAACAGATTAACTGAATTAAATTTTGATAAAGGACATGTTAAATGACCTTCAGATTTAATTACTTTACCTTTTAAGTCAATATTTTTCACCTGGCCTCATATTTTAAAATCACTTTAAAAAAGATTTAATAGTTAATAGGGTTTACATTTTTCAGAGAAAACATTTAATTTTCTCTGGACTGGTATTTTTAATAATTTAAAGTTTAACTTGGTCCATTACAAGACCAAATTGGTGGCTGCTAATAAGATTTTAAGCAGGGAGTGCTTGTCTTTTATATAATTGTTGGTCTAAAACAGCTTTGGTGCAAGTCTACTCTCTTCAGTATTTAATAAGGATTGCACTATCAAATGATTTGCAAGACTTGCATGATGATCCTTGCTTTAAAATAGATGCTTTAGACTTTCTTGTGCTGTTTTAACAAATCTTCCGTCTTTCTTTTTTTTTTTTCTTTTTTTTTTTTTAAATAGTCATCTTCAATTATTGGCAGAAGTAATGAAATTTTTTTAATACTATTTATAATGGATGAAAATCTTTTTGGGGCTTTGGCTTTTAATAATCATCCCAGTGTTGTCAGACTCAAATAGCAAAAGTCTCAGGTGAAAATTGCAAATTGGAGTCAAAAAATGTTATCAGCATGAAACAAGTTTTCCATTTGAAAAATTCCATGAGGTCAGTTATATCAGGTGAGCACATAAATTATAGCAGGTAAACACAAAAACTCTCAAGAATAATTAATTTAAATAAAATAAAATCAACTAAGGTTTTTTTAATTCCTTCCCCGGCGTAGACGTGTATACACGTTTTTACTGAAAGTGTCTTTTTTAGACACAGACAAATAAACAGCTCCAAAACATAATGTTCAAAAACCAGCTACAGACGTGTTTATACTTTCATCTTGATTCTTTTTATGCCCGTCTGAGCTTGAAACGAGTCCAATTGTCAACTCATACATCTGGTAGAGATGTTAGCCACCACTCAGGTACTTCAAGGTGCCTCAGTTTAATTACTATATGAAAAACAAATAAAAAAAAATTATCTGAAAATGAAACATTTTTCTCAAAATAATTGGCGGGGAAGGGGTTAATGATAGATTCTACAAAAATTCAATTAAGATAAATCAAAACTAGTAATAAAAAAAAAATAAACTGAAATGCATGCCAAATATATTTTCTTCAATATTAATCTGATAAAAAAAAAAAATGTATTCCGAATATGAAAACAGGTCAAAACCTTTTTTTGTCTGGTTTTATTATTATAAACATTTTTGGATATTGTTTTATTAATTTTTCTCTTTGTTATTATTTATTTATCTTTTTAAATCTGTCTACCTTTTTCAGCAATAATTCTCTCCAGACTTAACAAATCACTCATATGATGAGTCAAGTTGAGTAAAACAAACTCAGCCAAATATTTGAATAAATTGTGGAGCAAGTAGTGTCACCCATCTGGTAAAGTGTTGGTCAAATTTACAGCTGTTTAAGCAATTATCTAAGCTACTTTCATTTTTTGGTGCTGTCCACTCATATGCACACTTGAGAAAAAAATTCTGCTTCCATGTCATTAATAAGCAATAATATAGAGAGAATGTCCCAAAATGAATGTGCCAAAATTAAACAGAATAATTTGTTTTTTAGTAAAATCATTTTTAAACATTATTAAGTGTTTACACTATTTCATTGTTCAGACTGTTGCCATATTCACAATGTTTCGATTGTTATACACTCTGGCCTTCTTCAGGTGATATACATTGGAATTTTAAACCAAACCTTTTATTTAATCAACAGGAGTCGATTGTTCTAATTCCACAGGCCTTATTTGGATAACTCAGTATCAGTTAATTCCCTTTAGTAACTCTCTAATTTTTAGTTTCCCTCTGCTGTGGCCAGGTATTGAACTTACAACATTTTGTGTCAAGTCACTTTTTGGATTATTTAAGCAACACTTTTATCCACTGGGCCATGTGTCCTTGGGGACACAGCAGTCTGAACAATGAAAATAGTTACAATACTTCTCAGAAATATAGACAGATATTATTAAATGTGTTAAGATCAAATAAGAATATTGTACAGTCAGATAATTGTAACCAATATCCTATACAGTTTGCATGTTTTTCTTGGTTCTTTTTTTTTTTTTTTTTTTTTTTACCTCATTTTACATTATAATGGAGAGAAAAATGAATTTAAAGTCAAGATTTAAAGCTATGAAGTTGAAAACAAAAGGTATTTGAAAAGTATAATTAAAATAATTTGAGATTTTTAAAGTTTATTTTTGATAGTTCAGCTAGAAATCTATTCACCTAAGTCATGGGATTAGAACCAAGCTCCAGGCAGTACTTTGTCACCCTCACTATCTTATCAACATTTGTTTGTTTTTTCTACCTACATTTATATACATTACAAATTAAACTATGCAAAACTGACTATTAAAGGATGAAAAATCTTTTGGGATATTCTGGGATCTTTTTTTTTTTTTTGTCCAAATCCTTGAATTTGTTTTGCTCATGCTAAGTTTTGAAAAAACACTATATAAAAAAATCCATATTTTTTCCATAATGTTGCCTGTGTTAAATTGTTCAACGTTTTAACAAGAAAAATCTCAAGTTGATGTTAAAAATTGCCATAAAATTGTTGATTTATTTAAGATGGAATGATCTATTATGACATGTCTCTAATTTGTATTTAGATACATTGTATTTATTTTTAATTTTTCTAGTTGAATTGTTAATATGTATTGCATATGATCCATTATTGTACATAATTAGGTTACAATAAAAGTTGTATTTTATATGAATACTAACTTATGAAAATTGATATGTAGTAGAGTGAGGGGGGCTTCATATCATAGATTTGAAGGGGCATGAAACTCTTGCACAGATCCTATGTGTGCATATATATATATATATATATATATATTGATAAATATATAGTTTTAAGTTATGCTATATTTATGGGTTAAATTACTCAATATCAAGGATAGAGAATACGTAAATATAAAAGTGGGCATTGAAGTCAACACCCAGTGGTGACAGTCTGTTTCATGAAACAGACTGTTGCTTCTGGGTGTTGACTTCAATGCCTACTTGCATAAGATTGAATTAAAAATAAAGAACAATAGAAACTCTTGGAAAATAAACTTTTATAATCTGACTCTTCAGGCCTCAAGTGGTTGGATCAGCCAATATTGATCAAAGTTACTTTGTTGATGTCTTATTTTTTTGAATTTGATCTTGGATTGATTTGCCTTATTTTGACATTGAGCATTTTAATTTATTATTTTTTATATTGTTTACATTTTTAGAATATGAAACACTCCCCCACCTCTTTTTTATGCCAGGAGACATAAAAATGGCATTTCCATTACATTACTGATCCAACATTTTTAACCAAGTGAGTTCCAAATAGAAAACATTTATAGAGTTCTCACTTGGTAATAATGTCTTGCTGATGAGTATGGAGGCTGTCTAGAAGCTAGCTATGGATGGCCTTATTTATATATTTATCTAATAAACATTTCATATTAAATAAAAAATTCTCATTATTGAAATATTTAATAGAAAAATTGAAAACAGATTTCAAACAAAAAAAAAAGTAATGTCATCCAACACTTTCCATTTAAATTTGAGAAATATTTCTTAGTGTAAGAATCTATATGAGTGAAGTAAAAGAAAAAAAAAATTTAGAAAATTTATTACAGAATGAATAAAAATTACAGCAATGAATAAAAATTTTTTTTTAAATTATAAAATATATGCTAGAAGACCTCAGACATTTTATTTTAGATGAAAAACATGAATAAAACTTATTTTCAAGGTAAATTTATAATCACTTTATGGGGATTTCATTATCTAGATAATTCTAAAAAGTTTTAATTTTGCTTTGGTCAAGCAAGGCAACAGGTGACAGAACCCCTGTGTGTGTGTGTGTACATACATACATATATATATATATTGTTCAGGATGCTAGTATGTTTGGGTAAATATTTAGTCACCATTATGTTGCAGAAATCAACATTTTCAAGAATAAATATTTACAAGCTCCTGAAAAAAATTTATCCCAAAAACAATATTGGTGGACTCAATGTGAGTTCAACCAAAAAATGTGTAACACAAAACAATAAATATAAAACACATGACAATGCAGATATTAACACAGGAATTACATGTAATGAAAGGAAAAAAACATGAAACAAGCAATAATAAGAATGTGCTTCTTCGTGTGTGTACGCAACAAACATGTGAGTGTACAAAAGTCAAAAGAGAAAAACATGAACATAAATGTGTCCCTGTGGGGAACACTTTAACTATATGTGACTGCATCTAAAAGCCAGAGGTAAAAAGTTAGAAAAGAGGCTAGGGAGAGAAATGCATGCCTTTGTTTAGGCTTAAGGAGCGCCCACCTAGTGATGGTTTTTTGGCAAAGTCAAGTGGAATAACCCACAATATATATTTTTATTACTTCAAACATTATTTTTAATGAATACCTGTATTTGAATAGATGCTCTTTTTATTTTCAACAGGACTTATTTCATGTAACAGTCTGCATACTCAGGAGAAATTATTAGAAATATTGGAGAAACTGCAATGTGGCAAAGGGTAACTTGGATCAAGGGCATGTGGTCATGAATATTTTGTCATATACAGACTACCATATTTTATCACTTATAGTTTGTCTATCAACAAATCTGCAAGATACCTGCTACTTCAAAGGCTGTGTAAGAAAATGAGACCCCACCTTACAAGAAAAAGTTGTTTTCATTGCTTTTTAAAAAAAAAAGTAAATAACTTTGTGAAAAAATTGTAATTTTGCTGTAAATTATGTCAAAATAAGAAAATTTTCATATTTCCAATCATCAATCAGTGACATTTTCTGACGCCTG